ACGGAGAGAGCATTCCGTGCGAACGACTGGTCAGTTGGTTGTGTGACATAAAGCAGGCGTACACTCAATACGGAGGCAAACGACCGTTCGGTGTGTCCATCCTTTACATGGGTTGGGATAAACACTACGGCTTCCAACTCTATCAGTCGGACCCGAGTGGCAATTACGGCGGCTGGAAGGCCACCTGCATCGGCAACAACAGCGCCGCCGCCATCTCTGTCCTCAAACAGGAGTACAAAGACGGCGAGACGAGCCTTAAGGACGCGTTGGCGCTCACCGTTAAAGTGTTGAGCAAAACACTGGACACCACTAAACTGACAGCCGATAAATGTATGTCCATTTGTTTGACGACCAGTACTAATAAATGTTGTAATGACTACTTGTAGTGGAGATGTCAACCCTTACGCGAGAGAACAACAAAACCGTAATCCGAGTCCTCCCGCAGAAAGAGGTGACGGCTTTGATCGCCGCCTTCGAGAAGGAGGAACAGGAGAAGGCAGAGGCGGCCAAACGCGAGAAGGAGAGGGAAAAGGCCGTCAAGAGTTAGACGAAACCACTTCGACATCAATTGATTTTCTATTTTATTATTATTATCTCTCAATAAAAAAATACATGAAAATACAACTCAATTATTGTTTATTCAGTTCTTTGATATGACTTAAAATCGACGCTTTCATCACTTGAAGTATTTCCTGACAGCCGGTCATCGCTGAGTCCATCACTTGCGGAACAGCTGTGGCGTGCATTCGACCGCTCGACTCCATGGACAGGATTTGTTTGCTTTTGGGGAGTAATGCGATCGTCATTATAGGTCCGGAACCGACCGACTCTTCCAGATAATTGACGTCAACCAAGGAGTGGTCGTTAACCATGGATGCAGAACAGGCGCAGACCACGTCTTTGATGGGAATGCCGGCGTGAATGATGGCCAGAGTGGCCGCATTGACGCACGCGCTGTAATTACTGCCATCCGATTGCAGCACTTCCACGAAGATATCGATTTGCGAGTGAGGGAACAGTTCCGTCAAAATGGCGTTTTCAAACACTTGGCGCAGATTACTAGTGATCTCCTGAGACCTGTAATCACCCCTTTGTCGCTGCTTTCGCTCGGATGTGCTGAACGTTGCCATCGAGTACTGACAGTT